AATTTAAAATTGCTAATCAATCTCTTGGAGCGAGAAGGTCTTTTCTTGAATGACTAATAGCGTCGACGAATGGGGATTCGCTCTTTGCTACGCGCAAACTTTCCCAATTAAGATCGCGCGCGCGGTCCCACAGAAATAGCAGACTCGATTATTATCTCGTTAACTCGCAGTCGATGGAACTCGATTTAATCCCCTTCCCTCCTTTCGCTCACTATCTCTCTCTCTGTTTCGTTCTCCGCGTTCACAATTTATCGTACAATTCATCGCGGCGACGCTTGTCGATGCGTGCGATAAACAGATGCAAGGACGTTTCCCATTGTTAATCCTGTCCCACTTTCCATTTCTCGACTGCGACAAAAGTGATATTTGATATTTCCCCGACAAACCTGCAGAGTTACGCGGCTGGCAGAACGCGATAGGACACGACGCGAGAGCGACGTCGATGACGTTGCAACTCACGTCGGAAACGAACTTACTTCTCCGAATTGTGGTTAACCGTGTACGCGGTCAAGCTAATGGGGAAATCGCGTTATATCGAAAGAGGAACATCAAGAAGCAACGGCGAGCATCGATTTCGGGGGTTCGCGCGGCAGTCACCACGGGGGTGGATTTCGTGCATCCATCATCGTCTGGTGTACTGCGGACCGCGTATCTACTTGTAGCGCGCGCTCGAGCTGTCAAGAAAACGATCAGGGTTCGCACTTCGGACATTCCGCGGAATTTATCGCGATACCGAGCAGCGGTTTTTCACACGATGTACGAGATACGCGGGCTGATGCAAACTAAACAATTGTTGCTTTTATTCGCTAAAAAAAATATCGCAGCAAAATTTTCCATTGCAAATATTCCCCCGGCACAGCCGTACACATGTATACATTACAAAGTATATTCTTAAAAAAATACGTGTAAAATATAAAAAAATACATGCGGAGTATAAAAATGCAATTTTGATTTGTCGCTGAGCGAAGTAAGATATCGGAGAACTAATATCGCTCGGCAAAAAATTCAAAACTCGATCCTCCGACTTTTTTGTGTCAATCGAGATTTTTTTTTGTCGCACGATCTGCTCTTCACGCCGCAATCACGAATCTGATTCACATTTAAAAGTCAATACCTAAAAATAAATGCAGCAGAAAATAACAAAACTGACGAGAGGCAAGAACAGTAAATCCCAACTGCGACATAGAATTCAGAAACGCGATCCCGGAGCGGCTATTCTTCGTTCCAGGATGAAACCGGCGAAAAAAGTACATTAGCTCCGAAGGGAAGGATAGGTCACAAGCAAATGGAGAAGCGAACACGGACGGCGAAGTTTTGGGCATTAGAAATCTGATAGCCGGATGTCTCTCTTTCTCCGAACCGTCGAGTCAACTTCCCGTTACAATCCCGCTGATGGACCGTGCCGAGGGAAAAAATTTTGGAAGATAATGTACGAGATAATGTTCGGAGAGGCGTCGAGATTTTTCTTACCGAAGGAATCTCTGGTGGAGATTCTTGCACGGTTGACGGGAAGCGTGCACCAAAAAAGACAACGTCAACGTTTTTCTATTCCAATTGCAAGAAAAGCCATAACGTTGAATATTTGCGAGACGAGAGTTTATGGAAGCGTAGGTTTATACATATTCAGGAGAAGGTCGTTGCGCGTGAAGCCGCTCGCTTCTTCCGCGCTTCTCCCGCGCCGAGGTCCAACCGCAGGAAGTCGCTCTGTTGCATTAGCGCGGTGTTTTATGCCGAGAAGTGCAGTAAAGTTAGAATTTTAAATTCTCATAATATATATATCATAGTGCTTTTGCTGTTCGTAAAATTTACGAAAGGAATTATTTTTATTATTTTGTATTTAGGGAACGTTATCAAAGGGAATTGTAGTATAGTATAAATATTTGTATTGTCATAGTATGCGCTTGTGGTAATTAATTTTCTGATGGTATTCCATTCTTCTATTTTAAGTCCAAAGGGAAATTGTGTTCCTTGAGGCAAATGAGGTGTCGCTTCTTTTAATTCAGAAATTATTTTTTCTACTGGTGTTATTTTTGGATTTAATATTCCGTTTTGTATATGTGTTAGAAAGTCAATAATATCTTGAACATTGACTGCCCAAAAGTTTTGATGCGCAGAATTGACAATTGTTACTCTTGTTAGAAAAATGAAATCGTCATAATCGCATTAATCAATTGTAGGAATCTGATTGTACATACTCGATAACGCTGCTTACTAAAATTCCTGCGTGTCATGATAAAAATAAAACACTTGATGCGTGAGAGCACAAGAAGGGCGACTTTATGTCGTGCCGTATCTCTTATCAGGAGGGATAGTTTTTATTGTGTGAATTTTATTGTGTGTGAGTAAAGCTTCTATCCCGAGCGACGCAAAATCTAATCGAAAACTCGCGCGAGCTCTTATCTTAAAGCAGAGATTAACCGACTCACTTTTCCGTATGATAATTGCTTAGCAATTAACTAATTCGGCTGCGAGCATGTTTGTGTTCACCTTGAAATGCTCATTTTAGCTTTGAATATGCAGACACTTAGTGTAATTGCATGTATTAATGCGATGATAAGTCAAATGCACCAAGCGTGTAATCAAAGATACGAGAAATAACAAAAACAGAAATTATAGCAAAAAGATGAGAAAAAAGTTTAATTCAATTTTGAATTTATTATTTTATATATTCTTTTATAATTCTCGGCATAAAATAAAAATAACTCCCCGATAGCTGAGATTTGCAAGAAGCAAGAATTTTTTCGACGGAACTCTGCGCTCATTTCGTATGACTGATGCTTCAATCATCGTGCGTGACGTTACAATTAGCGCTCCCGACATTCGTCAGAAATCAATTGTATTCCGGCTATCGCGAATTTGCGACATCTCTGTGGCAGAGCGCAGCATTTCGGCGTTCCTGCAATGCCGGTGTGTCATGTCATCCTTACCAGCACGGTCACCAGGTATGCAAAGTAACAATTCACACGGCTCTACATAAACAGTCACCGGAAACCGTTGGGGCGTAACCCTTCGGCTTGTTTGTCCGAGTGTCCGTCCCGTGATCCTGCGCGCGGGGCAAATTGGGAGCCGGCCTCGGGTTACAAGGCCATGGCTTTAAAGGCAAACGAGCGGGTCCATTCGCCGGAAGCCGGCTAAACGGCTTAGAATCATGTCGAGAGTGCAATTAGAATTCAACGCGAGATCTGCCCAAACGGCACAATTATAAAACTCTCCTCAAATTCATTAAGGACGCAATTAATTTAAATTAAATTGCGCAATTAATAAATATGAATTTTACTAAAAAAAGAGCCATCAGCAAATTTTGAATATTTCGTTAATTTTATAAATCATGCAATTGATTCATTATATTTTATCGAATTTTTTCCTTGGATTAAAAATTAATTCACGCATTTCTTTAATTATTTTTACATCGCTTTTTTTTAATTATCCTGTAATTTTATTATTTTGCAATCCTTTAATTTCGTCGTTAATTACTTCACCACGGAAATTGCTACAAGTTTGTCAAAGAAGCTGCGCTCTCATATAACGCGATAATGTGATACCAACATACTTTCTTTGATTAATTTTACATATAAGTATCTTTGATTAAAATTTTCATTTATCCCTGTAATAGGATCCACATAATGATTAAAACGTCATCCTTTTAATATAACTTTTGCAGAAACTAATACAACCTTGAAGACTTTCAGTTTATCGCTTGCAGCGTCTTACGTGGTCGTTTCCTGTAGTCAGTTTTCATGGCATTGCCATGTCGTGTTGACGTTTCTGGCGAAATATAATAGAAGGTGAGGGGGGGGGGAGGAGGCTACTGGGCGCCTACGAGACAAATGATGCGAGAATAACGAGGACAGTATCGCGGTTGAACGAACCATTGTCAGCTGTCAATACGTGAACATTTTGACAATTATACATACGAAATATTTTCCAACATACGCGTCGCGAATAAAGTTAACAATATTAGTAACAATTTCCTGGATAAACCTCAAAAAAAAAAAAAAAATACTAAAAAATAAATGGTGTCCCACATTTAATTTGGTAAAAATAACACAGGGGTGTTAAAATATAATTAACTTTGAATACCGCCGTCTGTGAAATTTCGTCGAATTTTAATGAGACCCAACTGAAGCGGAAGAGAGATTTTAATAAACGCATGAACACGGCCGCAAGCGAGATTTCCCGTTGAAATATTACCGCCGATATTTCTTCGTCGATCTTGAAAGTAATTCAGATGCTCGATACCGCTCCATAAATATTTTGGTAAGACGCTACGGCCGCGCTCCTGCCCGTTCGCGCACGAACGATCGCTCATTGTGATCAACGACGTGTACGGAACACATGATCGGTGCGTTCAAACTTTCCTGGCTACGGCGAATAAGAATGTTGAACTTTCGTTGCAATAGCGGCGATTTATCATGCATGAATCTCTCATGCCGAACCCGAAGGTATCAAGGATTTTTGCCACGCGTTTCGAAACTTGTCGATCGCGCGCGTTTGCCTCCGTTGTTGCGTAGCGAATGTTAAAATTTATGGAGATTGATCGCGCCGGTTAATACTGTAATAATTCCGGAATATGCATGTCGTCCCGATTTAATTCTCGCGCGGCCGGTTATCGGCAATACGGAAAGCCGACGGACGATACTTTTAAATTGCATCGCGTGTATTCGACGCGGAAGAACTCCATCGCTTCTTCAATAATCGACTCTTCAATAAGCGAGACGGTGTCGTTTTATTTTTATATTATTTCAATTATATCCTCAAACGCACACCTCTATCAAATTAACGTCTGCGGTAAATTCTATTTTTTCACATTGCTAATCTTGTCGGCCAATTCAAATAAATTCATATCAGTTTGTTCCAATTTCGCGGCAACGGAATGGAATTGGAATTGAAATAAGTTTGAAGCAGCGGGAATTATAATAACTTTTTACGAGATTGATCGCGGGAAACGAAAGCAATAGACGAAATCAATAGACAACTTTGATCGTCTATTCTGTACTCACCGATCTCCGGTATGTTCCTGTCATGATCGCCCTCGGCTGAAAACTGAAACAGAAATATTTCATATTCAAACACGAATATTCTCGTATGCTAATGAACAAAAGAAAACTACGCGAAGCTAAAATACGATGCGATTGGGCTACGTAAAATTCTACAACATCGCGCAATAATTTGTAATCATATCTTCTTTATGTCCCGCGGTCTATCTCTCTCCGCCGCGGAATAAAATTACCACAATCTTATTATAAGGTTATTCGGTGATCGCAAAACCAATCTCATTATCGATCTATCGAGCCCCCGGAATTACCTGTAAAAAGTACTCCTTCCGTCAAATGAAGTTTGCCCGGGGTAACGATGGTCCGCGGGAACAGCGAGATAGCGCGCGATCAAAAAGAAAAAAAAAGTACTCGGCGGCGGTGTACACTCGGCGAATGAAACTTCGACATTCTGGCGATGACGCGAAGGATCGCCGGTAAAATATGACGCTGCTGTTTTCCTCGGAATCTAAAAAATACTGTTACTTTTCCCTGCCTTATTCGAACACGACAGCAAACGGATCCATACGTTACGTCACCTCGCGTGCTTTGTAACTTTCATGAAGAACTTCCGTTTTACAGAATGTTTGGGGTGTTCAGGAAGAGCTTCCGTTTACACATTGAGGCGTGAAAAGGAAGCCGGGGAGTAGAAAAATAAATGATTTGATATAAAAGTTACATCTTGCAAAATTTATCTCATAAAATTAGAAAAAAAGAATAATCAACAATTCAAAACAGTACAATTATGTATTTTACAAAGCGATGATCCAGCATTTTGTTAAATTTCTAATGTCAACAGGAAAGCAGAGTTGAATTAAATAACTAAATTTATGTGTTACAAATGTCTTACGTTATAAAATTATAATAATTGCAGGGAAATTAATTCTCTAAATTGAAATAATTTCATTATTTTATGATAAAGTTACATCAAGCAACTTTCAACAAAAAGCAAAGGAAAAAAAAAATTAATTTTCATTGTTTAGTAAACATATTTCAGTAACAAAATGAATGCAGCTCTGAGTGCCGCAGGCGTGTCTTCAACTGAGAGCCGCTTCTGTCGCTATTATTATTTAAACATTTTATCTCCTCGCATATCAAATGATAAAAGTTATTCTTCGCCTAGTCTCCTATTACATCTTGTATTTGCAATTAAAAAAATTCCCGTGCAATATAATTTAGCAAAATGAAGCAAGAAGTAGAAAACGAGTGTGTCAGCGTTGAAACAAGATATCCGGCAGACAGTCCCGACAATTAAATTACACGACATCGTGAAATATGCACGAGTGTCTTGAGATACACTCGTAAAAAAAAGAAGAAGAAAGAAATAAGAGAAGGAGAAGGAAATATGCCTCGCAATTCTTCTCTTTTTTTCCCCCGCTCGCAAGACACCGTCTGCGAAATATAAACCGGGTTTATTCGGGAAATCGTGACTTTCTCGGGAAATAGAAACCGGCAAAAAAAGATATCCCTGCGGTCGTCTCTTACCGTGAGAAAAATTCTCGGTAAGTCTCCTTCCGCGCACACGAGAGCGAAATGGCGAGAGGGACCTCTCGAGAGAAGCCTCTTCCTAGGCCAGACCTTCCCAGGCTTGGGGGAAATCGATAAACTCTCTCCGCCCCTCCCGCCGGCTTCCTGTGATTCTTCTCGCGCTCGTCTTCGCGCTCGAACGTTCATGTGTCGATTGAATCCAATAACATCGTACGTCGGAGGCTGATTAAGGGTATGATCGCCGTTACCTCGCTATATCCGTATTACCATGTCTGTCGCATTAACAGGTTCCTAGTATCATTGAATTAACGCGCTAAACATCGACACTCTGATATCATTAATTTTATCACTTACACTATTAATTTCAAAATTCATCGCTTACAAATAATTGCGAGTCCAATTCCACTCTACTCTAATCCATACGTTGCATTATTCATCGTATATTTGTCGTGTTTTCCGAGCCAAAAATTGTGAGCAATGCTTTATTCAAAAAGCACTATTGATATCGATAGAAATAGCAATTAAGTGTATTTAAAAAATGCGATGCAGAAATAAAACTAAAAATTTGTGAAATTATTCATACGGATTTATTTTTCATTTCTATCGTCGTAATTAGAAATCTGTGCGAGAACTGTCGAAAGCTGTTAAAAAGAACCATTGGAATAGATGAAAATAGCTATAATTTATTGTGTTAAAAGACGCAGCGCAGAACCAAAAGTAAAAATCTATTTTCCGAATCGATATCGACAGTATTATTTCTGTATGAACAAAGAACAATATGCAGGTTCTCTCTTCTACCATGATTTTCCATGATTAAAAAAGCGAACTTGAAAGCCGTTCTCGTTGAATGCAACAAAAAAAAAACAGAAAACAAGTCCACTGCCAATTTCATTTTGCCCTTTCATACAGTTAGTCGAACAATTAATCACTCCGCGTACGCGCAAAGATTTACAATCTAGCAAGCGGGTCGCGCGCACAACGGCGATTGCTATTAAACAGTAAGCTTGTTGCAAAGTGCGTTCATCCCCCGAGATGAAAACGGAGTGACAGGAGATCTGATGTCATTTATTTTCGCGACTCGATTCGACGCGCCGTTTTCGTTTCATTACGAACAACCCGCACGGATCTCCGCCTTAATGACAACTCTTTTCTCTTCATAAGTGTCGCACTTTCGGGACGCTCTATAAGCAATGGAAACCCTCTCCGCTGTTTGCTCGCAAAAACCAAGCCTCAAGTGAAATTGATAAATACAAGGAATTCGTGGAAACTCGTAATGTGCAACGACAACCTTGTTTCTGTTTGATAAACTTCTTGCAGTAAATTTGTGAAGCTAAGCAAAAGTTTTCGCTTGCGTAACGTTTCGTGATGTCACGTACACACACAAGAAAGGAATGAATGCTGTAAATAGGATGTTTTATAAATCTCATATCGAGCTGCAAGAGCGTACTCATTAACAAATCTACAATCAATAATAGCCTCGCTTGAAATTGCACAGTAACGTAATTATTTTCAGAATTAAAAATTAAGTTTCAAAAGCTATTATGTTAGAATTTCATTACTTTTAATTTTGTTTAAAACAAATTTTATCTAGAGTTTTATTCTAAGACTCAATTAAAAAAATACACATATTGCTAAAAATTGAGAAAATAATAACTCTCTCTGACATTTTTATTGAAAAATCAATTTCAAAGCCATAAAATTTCAAAATATGTTATTAAAAAGTAATACGGCGGTAAGAACGCTGTAAATAGCAAAAGCTTATTTGTAAATTAATGTCAAACAGAGTTTACGCGTTATTTTAAGTGAAACAACGATAGACAATTGTCTTTATACTCTTAAAGCAAGCTTTCCATAGATCGGGGGAGAAGTTGTTATCTACCAACGACCGTGAAATCAGCGACCAACGTGGGCCACGTGGACAGTTCCAGTTCTACGATGTTTGCCAACTCGTTGAATTTATCTCAATTCCATTAGTCCTCTATATTTAGACAGGCCTTAGAGATTCACGCTTTGCAAAATTGCTGTTTGTAAATCACAGGCGTAATTCTTCCTTTTCAGATTATTAATGAAATCGGCGATCGACCTTGATGTCACTTTAATCTGCTTAAAGACCTGTTTACGTTGAACGCGATATTCCGCACAACGAGTTAACTTGCCAAAAATTCATCTACGCTTCTGCATGATTTATTTTCGTTAATTTCGTCAAAATGTATTCCGTCTTGTGTGTTGAATTTCTCTCCAGCGAAAAAATCCCGGGAAAACACTTTCGACTAAATAAAAAATTTAAAAAAAGAAAAATGAAAGTTCTGTTTTTTGATCGTTCTTTGAAGTCTAAGACTTCATAATTTAATACTCAAAAGAAGCAGTCGGAAATATGATAGTCACTGTGACTCATGATATGCTTGGTAAAGATGAATTTTACGCTTAAAGAGAGAGTATGGAGATTATTTATATTTTATGAAGAATATATATATGATTTATGATTGATATCTATGATGTATATGATTTATGAAGAGAATATATATATACACATACATATATATACATATATTATATATACGAGGAAAACTAGATCAAAATGTCAATATATATTTTACATCTCATGTTTAATTAAAATATTTCCGATATTTTGCAAATTTCTAACGAATAAGTCTATTGAACAGCAGCGTGTATTGAAAAAAACCTGGATTTAATATCTTTAGTTAAATGCTCATTAAACTTGCAGGTGACTTGAAATTAAATATTCCGCATTAATATTCGGAAGATAAACAGCAACCTACATAGAAGCGCGAGAAATTTAGTTATTGTATTAAAGACATCGACGAGAAAATACCGAAGATATCGATCGAATATCAATGATGCATCATCGTTATGCACAAAAATAACAAACACATGAAAAACTTGGACTTTATCTCTAATTAAATGCTCATTAAAATTGCACTCGATAAAATATTCCGCATTAATAAACATTATCGAGACACATACAGTTTTATAATTGCATGAATGATATATGATCAGTAGTATAAATTATACAAATAAACGAATTGCAAAATGTAAAAATAATATGAAAGAAATGGCATTGAACCACAGAAAAAAATAATTTGTTGACACAGCAAATTTTATGCTGTTGTAGGAAAATACGTGTTAATTATTATATAAATAGCAAAGAGATTTGTTGCTAAACGGATGCTAATTTTATTTGCTGCAAATAATTTCGCTAAATCTACAAATTTATTTCGTTATTAAATTGATTTTTACTTTGCTTTCAAAATTTGCATTGGCAGCAACAATTTTGCTGCATTAGCAAGATACATACATTTGTTAGAAATAAATTATTTTGTTGTAGCAGCAAATTAATGTATCTTTACGAACAAATGTACAGCAAGATTCATTCTATTCTAGCAGCAAAATAGGTTTTGCTGATACACCGAATAATTAAAACAATCAATTATAGTAGCAAAGTTCTGTCGCTATCACATCTGATGTGCAATAGCAACTACGATTTCGCTGCAGTAGTAAAATTCTTTCTTTCCGTGATTGCAAAATGCAGGTTTTCTCATGCATTTGTGAAGAGATTTTCCATAATGCTTATCTTCCATATCCTATCGATGGCCGCGGGCAAAATTGTTCTTCGCAAGGTGACATCCTATAAACCCCCTCCCCGCCTCCCCCCCGGTTGGCTTATCACTCCTTATCCATCAGCCTGGCATGAGGGAGCGCGTTTCGATAACGGAGACAAAGAACGCGCGCGAACGAGAGATAAATGAGAGCGACGGCGCAGAATTCGATTTTCTTCGATTTTCTGCGGGCGCCGGGAAGTTTGCGCGTAACGATAAACGTGTAACGAGCGGGTGGCAGGCCCGGGGCGAGCGGGCGGGCGTTTACTTCATCATTATGGCGATTGAATGGGGGTTCCGATTAAATCGCGTGGGAACCCAGTTCGCATTGATTAAAGCGACGTCGGGCTGCCAGAGAGAATTTGCATGCCCGTGAAAACGCCTACTTTATCGAATGTACCACATGGAATCAATAATGCTTTAACGCACGATGTTGAATAAAATTTTGACAGCCCTTGAGGCGGGCGCATCGCGTTCAGAAATTCGTGCGTTTATGACTTCTTGTGAGAACTGTGTTTGACACTCTCGAAACATTTGACATATGTAAAGCTGAAATTATTAACAAGCTTACACAACAAGTGAATTGATTAATACATTTTGAAAATTGTAGTTTCAGATGTTTTTATCCGAAATCATAAATCATATTTAATGTCAAAATTGTCAAAATCTCGACGGTTTAGCACAATATCATGTAATAAAGTATTACTGATTTCAGGTGCATATAAATGTGAATACCGATCGTGCATCCAAAAATAGATCGGCCCAATCGATTATCTGCTTACGAATCGATGCCTCGCGTACTAATCAACGTCAAGTCGTGATTTCTGTAGCTTCGCGCAATGATCGCATCGCTCAGAGGTATTTGCGATCAACCGTATTTGCCGGCTATGCATTTGGGACAATTCGATAATTGGAATTGTGTTACACATTATGTTGTTAACCAGAAACTGAAACAATTACTGTGAATTAATATTCAAGTAGCTGCTGCACGTTTGATAATTTTTTGCACAATTAATCTTTCTTCTCCCGTGGTTCAGCACATATATAGCCGAGCTATAGAACGTTACGTCTAACGTTGATACGGTGTATTATTTCTTATATACTTCATCGTGCGGTAAGAACTTTCGCGGAGATAAATAATGATACACGTTAACGAATGTATCAGATCTTCTGTCATTTTTCGTTCTTTCCGGATGTTTTATTTTTCACGTCTGGCGTCGTTTATCAGGCTATCGATTCTTTGGTGGGGGAAGTGTCGATAGTGTGACACAAGGCTGCAAGAGAACCGATCGTCGTGGATAATTAACACATTGCGGAGGTAGACTCACCCATTTCACGGCGCATTACTGACCGACTAAATAGATAGATCCACCTCTTTGTGCCGCGCCGCTATAAGCGCTCAGTACGTATAAAGCAGTGCCGCTCAATCTATCTGCGGGCGAGCTACTCTTTTTAATAGAGCGACCTCGCGATTTATTCATATGCAGAAGAAAAAATATAATACTGTTAAGGAAGAATCGACTATGTAAACGTTGAACGTATTCTCGAAGTTGCAAGGAGCAAACAGCTTAGTTGCTAGAATATATTAGTGCTATAACATATTTCGGGAAAAAAGGATTACGCCACTCAATGTGTTTTCAATAGGCACAACGGTGACGCAGAACGTACCGAGAACATAGCGTGCTATATCAGTTGTTTACGTCTTCGCGTAGTCTGATTATTGGCCCATTGTGACGCGAATGACATCTCGCAATTTCTGATTAACCAAGATGTATAGACACCATCTTCTTGGTGACCAGATAAGCGACAAGCCGGTGCCGATTCCTCGCAGTCCTTTGCGAGCTCGGCCAGCAAGCACTAAGCGGTTCTTAATTCGGAGCAACAATTACGTACTCGTTGCGTTACAACGCGCTGACCGTCGCGAATTCATATTCCCGTACGCCGTAGTGATCAGTCGCGACCTAAGGTCTTAGCAAATGTTGTACACTTGTGAATAAATAAAGCTTTTCAAGCAACGAAGCCGATTTATTCCCGCAGATCGGCAAATTAAATAAACATCTTTTTTTTAAATCTTTTTTTTTTAAACCACCCGCTGTCGAAGGCGCGCGAACAAATACTGAATATAAAATTGGAATGCAATTTCAATATTTGTTAAACATGTCACTAAAGGCAAACTAAGTGCCACAATAAAAGAAATAAAATAAATATTAAAATTAGATAAACATAAACTTTATAATAAAATCAAATACAGTAAAAATCAAAATGTTAAGGGGATTCTAAAGTGGTCTGTTTTACCTATTTTTTTCAGATACACTTAACTTTTTTTTGGCTGTGTAGAATAAAAAGTCCTTTTCTGTAAGTAAAGTACATATGTTAATACACTACGGATGGTCGATTTAAAAGGATTTTTCAAGCCACGCAGCCAAAAAAAACAAATTTTACGAAAAATAGAAGGTAAAACAGATACGTCTCGAACCAGATTTTTTTAAATTTCGAAAATTTTACACTAATAATGCAGCAAAATGTTCAGAAAATAGTTATATTTGCAATTAAATCTGATGGCATTGAAATGAGTAATCGTAATATGTATTATTGCATCATTGTTCTGCGCAGTTTTGTAATTGCGCGATGCTCAGCACTTAGTCAAACGTAACACCGGCAGTTGGCAAAGAGTTCTGTTTTAAGTTCAAGTAATACGTTCGCTCTTCATTTTGCGATATCCATTAATGTACCAGGAGAAAGTGCAGCAATCAATTTTTAAGCAGGTAACTAAAAATTTGTTTCGAAATACACAAAGTGAGCCTTGTCACAAAATTTATTTAAAAAAAAAAGTAATAAGCATCAATCTCAAAATTATGAATTACTTTTAACCAATCCTCCAATCAAAATATCTTTTTAATATCAAAATCAAAATCTGGGGACCACAATAGCATAACTTTCCTTCACGAAAAACTTATATTTTTTTTATGTTATGTTGTGATAAATTCCGCACATATTTCTGTCATAAGTCAGCATTTCGCACGATCGATTTCTTTAATATAAAAGATCGCAAATGTACGATTATAATATTATTCACAATTAGGTTTTATTCCTGCTGATCGTGCATGAAGTTTGTTTGAAGTAGTGTATTATATTTCACTATTAAGAGAAGCTTGAAGTCGCACAAACACTTCTAGTATGCTCCTGCTGTACGGCGCGGCGATAATTGCCATCTTCTACATTCTATTCGATGTGAACTACTTCTTGAGAGTTTTTTGCACCATCGCTTGGGCCAGATTCTTCGGCAAGAAGAAGAAGCTTTTAGATACGTCCACAATTTATGGTAAATTCTCACGTTAAATTAATATGGAGTGGCATTTAATGTTTATAAATTATTGTGTTAATTTTTTGTTTTGTGTCTTTCTACACTTTGTTGCTAAAAACAAGGAGTATTCCTGTCTAAAATTTCGAAAAAAAATCGATTCTTTATTTTGCATTTCTCTTTAATGTTTAAAGTCTCAAAAATAAGCTCTTAAGAAATTTCTTTTCGCAAATACGCAATCATAAAAATAATTTTGGTTATGAAAGCAAAGTTAGTTAAAGTTGCGATGTGCAATCGAGTGACGATTCGATTTTTTTATAAGAGTCAGCTGCATTACGTAAAAATGCTGTGAATGAAATTCGTCAGAATATAAACATTTATGTAAGAATTATTTATATTATTGATTTTAAAGCCAATATTTTGCAATGTTAAATTATATGCAATGTTCAATGCTGTCCATTTTTCGAAAAAAATATATTTAAATTGTTAAATAGAATATGTAAAATTAAATTCTATGATATTAATAAGATTAATAGTAGCTGATGGATTTTTTCTCAGGTATCTGCACAACATACGATATAGACATAGTTCTAACGCACATGAATAATGCGAGATATTTACGTGAATTGGACTTTGCTCGTTACTATCATTACGACAGAACAAAATTATATACAGCAATCCTTAAGAGAGGAGGAGTGGCTTTCCAGACTGCATCCAACGTGCGATATCGCCGAGCAATTTCTTTCTTTAGGCCGTACAAAATCACCACAAAGGTATAGTATTTTTTATATAATATTTCAGCATTGTTTCCTTTTGCATTTATAATTAGATTACTCAACGTTAAGAGAATATAATTTCAAAAATCAAAATTTGTTGTCTTTAGAAATGTTATATAAAAAATATAAAAAAATTTTTAGATAAAATCAAATAAAATTAAAATATATTCAGCAATTTACTATAAAGTAGTGTAGTAAATATATATTATAAAGAATCCTTCTATAATAAAAATGTTTTAAATAAAATAATTAAAGAAGTTTTTTTGCAAAAAGAGATTTTTTTTTGCAAAAACGTTGTTAGTAAAATTAACCTTCAATTTTTTTCTTACAGATTATTTACTGGGACAATAAGCACTTTTACATGGAGCAACGATTCATTAATATCACGGACAACTTTGTTTATGCAATTGTATTAAATAGACAAACTGTGATCGGGCAAGAAATATCAATACAGAATATAATTACTGACATTGAGCCAGATACACGTAGACCGAAGCTCACGAAAGAACTTAAGCTTTGGCTCGAAAGTATACAACAATCATCCCAAAATCTAAGAAAACAAAGTTGAGAAGATCGATTTTGCATATTATATTGTGTTTTTTATTTCCTTTTTTTAGAGTGATTTTTGTAAGCTTTTTATTTCGCTTTCCTGTGGAAATATATATTTTTGGAAAATAAACGTTGGTTTACTTTTGTTAAGTATACCAAGTTAATTGCAAATAATTGTTTTAGCTCTAAGCTATACACCTAAATATTTAAAAAAAGTAGTTTCTTCAAAATAAAAGTAAGAGTCTTATACACATTAAAAACATTTTTTATAACGTCATATTCAGCTTTAAAATTACATAATGATATATCAATTCTTTATTTTCTACATTGCCACAGATTTACCGTAATTCAAAAAATTGCAAATATTTCGCAAAAATTGAAGCAGAATTTTGTATAAGAATCTTATATCATTTTAATTTAAAATAATTATCAAACGTTTATTTAAATAAAACGTTCTATAAAATTGAATATTTCGAAAATTTTGTATGCATAGATGTGTATAATAATTTTTATTAACACATAACTGACTTGCATTGATTATCGAAATTTAATATATATTGAAATTCGTCGAGCCTTCGATAAAAAAATACCGCATTCTTGGTTTTACGATAGATTTCGATTTCATTTTTAGTACGTCGGCACCTATGCGCGAGCGCAAACAGGACGACGAGACGAGTTTATAGCAAAAAAAGTTTCAGACGTGAAAGAGAAGAACGTAGTGGAAAGTGCAATCGCGAAATATTCGTCGCAGCTGTCGGTCATTCTGCGAGATTTGCAACGAATTTACCAGTGTGACACGCCGCATGGCGCGTAACGACAGCCTGGAAATATCGAAGGCATCTTCTCCATCGCGTACTATCGCGATCTCTCAACCTTCATTTCTTCTGTCTCTACGAGTAAAACGACGCCGTGAATTTCTCAAGAATGAAGGTTTTTACGACTTGACTTTAATCCACGATCATGTTACTTTCCATTAAATCACGTAGCTTTTGTTTCAAATAGAGTTTTCTCACTATTACGTTTCACTTTCTTAAATCTCATTCTGTCTCATTTGAAAAACGTATGAATAAACGACACATTGTTAACTCGATTGCAGAATAGTGATTAAGCATCCTTTAGATCACAGCACGCATAATATTATTTTCCAGTTCCTGTTGCTATCAGATTTGAACTGTTTTGAACTTGAATTTTAAGTATACACTTTTTTAAGCTTATCCGTTTCTTTAAAACTCGTATAATTTTCTGTTGAAGAGAGCTAAAGCTAAAGTCTAAATATTCTGTTTATTAATCAACAAATTACATAGTTTTGCATTTTATCATTCGCACTTGGTTTTAACTTTCTATTTATTTTACTTATCCCTGATAGTCAAATAGCAATATTAGCAGATTGAAATTTGCTGTTAATTTTTCTTAGCAAAATATTTACTCAAGTTTATTCTTTTTTTATGCATTTTGCATTAATTTGCAAACATATCACGTGAATAATGAATTTCTTACGAAAGCTACAAAATCTCGAAGAAAAGTCGCACAAACTCGAATTGAATCTAATTATCTGCTTCATTTTTCAGAGCCTGACTCTTTCGCCAAGTAGATAACAGAAGAACATCTCTTATTCTTATTCTGAAACGACGATTGATGATCATTCTAAAACGAATGCAACGTAAACGAATGGCTACGGCAGAATAAATACGATGCACTATGCATCGGATGAAGAAGCATTCGGATGAAGAGCAGAGAGAAATATCTAGAGACTCAATTTAAAAGGAAAAGACGTAAGATTTATTTCATAATTATGCAAATTTTCTTACAAAACTGATTTATATCGAAAAATCCTGCATCATGCACAAAGGGATTGATATTCCATTCACATTCTAAATTACAAAGTACAATAAATGAGAATGTAAATTTTCAAACACATCGACGCTTTTATATTCGAATGAACGAATAATAATGCGTACTCGAATAAAGAGTTTATTTTTTTTATGCAATGTAAATCGAGAGTCTGGACAAATAATCGTTGTGATACAAATGAGGCACGGATTAATAATCGTTCGGGAAAAATATGTAGCCATCAGGTCGCAGAAATGAAAACAAAACCGCATGCACAATGACGACAGGATGTTCCTGACGTGCAAAGAACTGGACGTGAACGCGATTGTCCACGAAAGTTAAACGAAACTGTTGGAAAATTGCAGCCCAAGGAAAAATGCAACGAGTGTATGGTCATTTTTGAATCAGTCGTTACTTGTTACAAAGTCGTTATTCATTCATCCTATCGAACAATAGCACTCTCTCGAGAGTTAACAACCGCATCATAAATCTCAGCAAGAGAATCTATAACGTTGCAACATATTCTGAATAGAATCGCTCCTTTCGAAAAGATGATACATTCAGAAAAAACATGTTTTAGAAAGAATATGAGAAAGATAACATCTTGCAGAAAAATAAACTTTTTTTTGAATAAAATTAAATAATGAAAGATAGTGTTAATTATTACGGCTAAATAAAATTAATATTAATTAAACAAATTCTTAATCAACAAATACATAAAATAGGAAAATAAGTAATGTGTGTCTTTTCAGCAGCTTATTGATATAGAAATATGACAATTGAAAAAGAAAACACAGTGAATACCGTCTTTTCGAAAAGATCAATTTAATTATAGCGCAACTCCACAGCAATCTTTAATTTAAAACAGACGTTTTCCAACTAAATCAATTTGTCACCACGAAAGAATTTTTCCGTTATTTCTTCCTCAAATCACTCGTTCAAATACACTGGAGAAAATCCAAGGAAGCCAAATAAAGAAATGCTACAGCGAGGGGTAAACTTTTTGGTACACATTCACGACTGCGGCGCACGACTGCATCATTGACAGAGAGGACCGGAAGCGTAGCAGCGACGGTGGCTTTTCAGAGAACTTGCTCGGAACGCAACAATACAACGACCGGACGTGACTTCCACGCAGAGGAATGCCATGTGCCGCGCGTACTCGCCGCTATAAATCACGCATTACCGAAACGACCGGGCCGGCATGGTCGGGCCGATAAAGGCGGAGAGAGAGAGAGAGAGAGAGAAATTGGAACAAGCGGCGTCATATCGCCGCGGTGATATTTACCAGCAGCAGCAGCAGCAACGACGGCATCCGGCCGTTTCAACGGAGAACATGGCACTCGTCCCGGTGGCAAATCAATTGCTGCGCTCGTTGCTGAAGACGCGCCTACGCGTTTCGAAAATGAAAATCCATCGCGCTCCGGTGCGGGCAAATTATCGATCCGCCAATTTCCGGTTTGAAAATTAATGGCCTTGTTTGCGCGAGAAGCGGCGTTCCCTCATCCAGCCTTTTCCAACAAACACGGCGCGTACCTGAGCCGCCGCGATGTTTAGCGTCCCGCGGTCTCACCGCGTTTAGAAATTTCCCGGCGTCAGATTGGAATTATTAAATATATCTCGCAAATGAATCGCGAGTTCTGAAAATCTATTCTGTTGGCGAAAGAAATTTCTGTTGCTGCTGGCGCAAACAAGCGAACGATATTGCAGCGTGAGATGGAGCCGCGAATGACTTCAATAAGATAAGAATAATATATAAAAGTACACAATCCGCTTCGCGATAAGATGGACTTTACTGCGCGTACTAGCGTGGTATTGATTTCCCAAGCTGTAAATTATCCCGGAAGGATTTGCTGCGTCCTTCCACGTCGTCCGCTTCCTGCAAGTTCTAATCGCGGCGCAAGCTTTTTATCGTCGCAATTTATACGCGTAGTGGGTCACAAAGTTCAAACTATCTGGGATGCACTAGCTTGAATCCCGTATTCTCTGACTTCAACTCCGTAATTCACCTGTGCTTTTAATTATCAGACAGATTTCCGTCGCAAAAATCGAAGCACGTTGATTCTTAAATATTACGCGCCAAATATGGAAGGTGTCGTTAAATGAAAGGATTACGCGAGATTTACAATATAATATTCAAGATTATCCGTTTGAATTTTTTCACACGATCTGTAAAACCGCTATCGCTTCATACTTCTCTCATATTTTTTTGCTATTTTATTCTCTAAACTTTTCAATTAATTTCCATCATCGATTCTAAATATTATGTTTCTCCACTCGTGCTACGAAAAAAAAAAAATTCCTCTCTATTTGACAGAATTTTTTTACACCGAAATAAAACAGCGATATAAATTAAGAGAAAAAGGTAAGATAATATTGGTTGATGGCTTAATTTCTGTTTTGGCGATTCTCCACACTTTCTAGAATAAATATATGCTTTATAATTATTGGCGAGCAGTACCTAATAACAGTAATTGCCTGCGCAATTCCTTCTGCAGCCTCGTAATTTTGTCGTTTCGCGTGGCGCTCGACCAAAGGAGCGCAATTGAGCGCGAAATAAGGTATTTATAAGCATGTCGAACGGTTTTCCGCGAAAGGACCACTCGTAAAGTTCGGCACGGTATACGAACAACCTATAATTAAACGCTCGCGAGTGGTTGCGGTCGGATTTGCATATAATTGGAATTAAAGCGATTCTAGCGATAGAGACTGAAAAAGGCGATGAAACGGAAAACAGATGGCTTTCGCACGTTCCCCGAAATTCTACCCCACGTGTCGTCGACATTCAAAACCGCCAGCCCCGTCATAATATATGCGTCCTTTTATCCGCCCGATAATGTATGCGTCTCTTAATTTTGCATTCCCGCTGATCCTCGATTTCTCGTTCCTTCTCGTTGATTTATTCAAAATTGATCATGCCCGACGCTTTCACATATTAATTAAGCCGTGACCTGTTTTGCCAACATTTCCGTGAACCTTGCCGCTCTACACTTGATAATGAAATAATATAAATTATGACATTTAATGTAACAGAATGAATATTAATAGTGAATTTTAACGGATTCGGTGCAGCCTCGCATTTCGCTGCCTCGCGGGTGTCGGGATACTCCGTAATTATTCCGTCGCGCAATGACGTCTACTCGTAAATTTATCGTCAGCGCGACGATACTCCACGCGGCGATAGACAAACAATTACGTCGATCTGCTTTGAGACTGCTTTGCGGAATTAAATTTGGGAAAAGCGCGACGGGCGTAAATAGGTTAACATCTGCGCTATTCGCATAAAGTGAAAAGACAT